TCACTGGCTTGGACCATTCAAACGCTCCCCACCGTTCACAGAAAGCTCCAGCACTCTTTCCAGACACTTCAATGAACAAAAATGTTGGTTCCTATCGTATTACAACTTAAAATCAGCAAAACAGTACTCCTTTATTTGCTTTGGTATTCCGCTAATTCTCGCCTGTAGCAGTCTTGAAGTTTTGACAGTAAGCTGCATGCCCGTTGAGCTGCTGATTTTTTTTGCTTCGCGAGAAGTCACCAGAATGATAGCTCTTAATGTGGGCCAATGCTCTTCTCCAAAAACCGTCTAAAAAAACTTACTCTGAATCGACAAAACAAAAAATATATTAGGTTGTTCGGAAAGTAATGTCCATTTTGAAATGTAGTTTTCTTTGTACGATTTTCCAGGAACAGCACCTTTTTGATTGTCATTGTGTTGTATGTCTTTGAAAAGCTCATTTCACGTACTTTCGCGTCGCGTAATTGGATTGTAATAAGAACTGTGTTTTTGACAAGTTTCAAAGGTTGCAATTTCAGATGTCAAAACAGCAATTTCGACAAATTTGTTTTTACGAATTCAAACTTGGCCGTAGTGCAGCGGAAACAGCTCGAAATATTAATATGGTATGGGGGCAGGGAATTGTTAACGAACGCACAGTGCGACGTTAGTTTGAGAAATTTCAACGTGGTGAATTCGATCTTGAAGATGATGAACATTGCGGAAGTCCTACTGCTGTTGTTGACGGTGAATTGAAGGCGATGGTAGAGGCAAATACGCAAACAACTGTCCGAGAGCTTGCAAGAGCATTCGGGGCAAACATTTCTACTGTTTCGGAGCATCTAAAGAAGATTGGGAAGACGAAGAAGCTCGACAAATGGGTGCCGCACGAATTGAATGATGACCAAAGAAAGTGTCGTTTTGAGGTGTCGTCGACTTTTATTCTGCGCAATCAGAACGACCCGTTTCTCGACCGTACTGTGACGTATGACGAGAAATGGGTCCTGTATGATAATCGACGACGGTCGGCTCAGTGGTTGGACCGCGATGAAGCCCCGCAGCACTTCCCAAAACCGGGACTTCATCAAAAGAAGGTCATGCTGACAGTCTGGTGGTCTGCTGCTGGTTTAATCCATCACAGCTTCCTGAATCTGGGTGAAACGATTACGGCGCAGACGTACGTTCAGCAAATAAATGAAATGCACCAAAAACTTCAACGGCTGCGCCCTGCACTGTCCAACAGAAAGGGACCAATCCTGCTGCATGACAACGCGCGACCACACGTCGCACTTGGAACGGTGCAGCGGTTGAACGAACTGGGCTACGAAACTCTGCCTCATCCACCA